AGTTGCAGCCTAGAATCGGCTTCCGGCAACAATAGTGTCATGTCAATCTGTCCAGACCTTATGGTGCGAGTTAGCCCTAGCGTGCAGATCCCTTTTTCCTGACTTATGCTAATGATAGTTCACCCTGACCCCAAGAAACAGAGGCTGCGCGATCTCTCTTTCCTTTCTCTAATTCCAGATAACGCAGGAACGGCCAAACCGGTAACAGTACCAAATCACAGGCGAGTCAGTCCCAGAACAGAACACGCCACTACCAGGGCAACTCGCAGGCGAAGGCATCCCCACGTCCTGCCAGTTGAAGTTTGAATTTGAAATTTGAAACTTAATTGAATAAACTGAAATTCTTTGGTGCTTACCGCGGTGACCTTGGTTCCCAATTGGCGGGTCGTTCTGAATCTTCGCGCGCGTTCGGCATGGCGTCAATTTCTGTTCTCAACCCAAAAGCTGAGTTCGCTAAATCTCAACATGCCTTCAATATTAATCTCGCGGCGGCGCGTGGACTCTTTCAAGTCCTGAAAACCAATCTCGGCCCAAAAGGGACAATGAAAATGTACGTACAATTGTTAATTGCGTCGCTATTGTTTTAGGCTTGTTTCCGGTGCAGGTGATATCAAGATCACCAAAGACGGGAATGTTTTGCTCCACGAGATGGTAGGATAAAAGTTAATTTTAATCCTGTTAGCAAATCCAACACCCCACAGCCAGCCTCATCGCCCGAGTTGCCACTGCTCAAGACGACATGACCGGTGACGGCACCACGTCTAACGTGCTCTTGATTGCCGAATTGTTAAAACAGGCAGACTCGCACACATCTGAGGGTCTGCACCCGCGCCTTATCACAGAGGGATTTGAAATAGCTAGGAATAAATGCCTCGAGATACTATCCAATTGTCGCATTGATATCGAAAGTGAAATGCCCGACAAGTCTATTCTCTTATCCGTTGTCGGCACGTCTCTTCGAACGAAGCTGCATGCCGACTTGGCGAATCTCCTGACAGGGGTAAGAGAGTAGTATTCTCATGGTTTTCTTTCTAGCATGTTGTTGATGCCGTCTTGGCGGTGCGTGCTCCAGATGAGCCTTTGGATCTCCACCGCGTTGAATTAATGCAAATGCAACATAAGACTGACATGGATACCACCCTTATCAAGGGTATCGTTCTTGACCATGGGGGGCGACATCCTGATATGCCCAAGCGAGTGACCAACGCTTACATTCTGACTTGCAACGTTTCTTTCGAATACGAAAAGACGTACGTCCGTTTGTGTATTCTCACTCTTCTTTAGGGAGGTCAATTCGTCATTCTTCTACAAGACTGCAGAAGAGCGGTCATCTTTGGTCAAATCTGAGCGTGAATTTATTGACATGCGGGTCCAGAAGGTGATTGACTTGAAGAATAAGGTCTGTGATGCTGCAGGCGGTGACCCAAAACCTGGTTTTGTTGTGATAAATCAAAAAGGCATCGATCCATTCGCCCTAGATGCCTTCGCTCGCGAAGGGATTTTAGCCCTTCGTCGCGCTAAGCGTCGAAATATGGAGCGAGTTGCGTTGGCCTGCGGAGGTTATGCGCTAAATTCTGTAGAAGATATGACCCCCGATTGCTTAGGCCACGCCGGGCTCGTTTATGAGTACATTTTGGTGAGTTGCTTTATCGCGCGTCATCGTTGTAGGGTGAAGAAAAGTTCACGTTCGTGGAGGAATGCAAAAACCCGCGGTCCGTCACTTTATTGATGAAAGGACCGAACAAGCACACTCTCACGCAGATAAAAGATGCCATCAACGACGGATTACGAGCTGCGAAGAACACATTGGAAGACGGTAATATATCCCCTTTTATTCTGCACAATGTTTGTTGCCCCAGTTAGATATATAATAGCTTTCGATTAGTTGATTACTACTGTTGTGCGATGCGATTTTCCATAAACTGAGGGAAGAGACTTTAAATTATGCAAGATTGATCTGGTGGACAGCACCTATCTATTTTATTCGTGCGGGATCGGTTTCGGTCCTAACGATCGTAACATTGACCAGAAGAATCAGAAGTAGTTTTGCAGTGCTTCCCAGGTTTTTGGTCCACATTTCCTTGGTGGTAACAGTGATACTGAGAACGAGAAAGACTTATCAATCTCTCAAAACATTTGTCAAAATGAGAATGATAGTTTCAACTTCAATAAACCACCATACATATTTTACCTTAACGGGACGATCTACTGCTACACGATAGGTCAACCTAATAGGCCACAACGACTCTTGAAGGTTCTCTGGAATTGAATTACGAGCGGTGCTCCTAGCGCCGTTCCGTTTTTTTTTACTTCAGGCTGCATCTCCAGTGATTGCGCGTTCAAGGTAACAGATTTGTCACTACTAGGAAGGTGGGTTCAGTCGTTCCTTCTGAAAGTAATTGCAGAGCGAATGGAATGGAAAAGAAGCCGTGGCTTTATAAATGGAGGATTATAATTGCCACGTGGTAGTGTCGTTAGACACTTGTGACGTTCTTCATCAAGGACACCTGCAAAGTGAAAATCCACGTTCTCAGATATCAGCTTGTCCGTAGACAACTATTCGGTAAACTCAAGTCCGTTATCCTGTTGGACCCTGTTCCACTAGTGGCACGCCCTGCAGCATGTTGCTTACGCAATTATAGAGTTTCGGTTTGTAGAACCATTAACCATGTACTTAGGTGCGCCGGTTTTGGTTGCTGTTTTTGGCTGAGGAATAAGGGAAAGAGGAAAGTAGACAGTAAAGTTAAAGTGATCGGAGAATTTCGGTGGTCTTGGGTTGCTAAAAAATGAGGTGCAAGAACGCTACTGTTTACGAAACAGCTATATCACTGAGTGTCTCTAGTCATCGGGTACGATCATCCCGAGATCCCCAGCCGGGGAATCTAACGGGACCGATGTGACCCAGTCTCCTGGTTAGGGTTTTCATACCCTCGTGCCAGGTCTTAGGTTAGCTTTTGTCCACCTACTACTCTCCTCGGCAAACATCGCTCGCGGCGGCAACCTATTTGTTGACATGCGTAACACATCCAAACCAACGTAATTTATGGAGGTCGACCACTTGCTCCAGTGAGCGACCGCAGATACCCAAAACTCCGCGCCTAACCTCAGCATTGCTCATCCGGCTACCCCATCAGATTCGTGTAATGCTGCGTAGACAGCGGTGTTCAAACACTGAGAGTCTGTCTTTATCCTGTTTTCTTAATGGTCAAGTTTCTGTACAGCAGGACTGGTCCAACTGTCGCAACATACACTCGACCCTTCCCAGACAACCGGACGTCCCGACGGCGACAAGTGTCTCAAGTCAACAACTGCCAACCGTGTCTTCTGTATACTAACTGAGCCTTCATCCGTGTTGCGTCCTCCGGTCAAGATGTAGCTGCCCAAATAACAAAAACTTATCCACCTATAGGCTGGGTGCCGGACCAACCCAGTCTTGTAGTAACATTTTACACTCTGAAGGTGCAAAACGCATACCAAACCTGAGTACGCTGGTGCTCAAGCTAGCCAGAAAAGCTTACAACTTACCTAGATCTTCACTTAGTAGCACAGTGTCGTCTGCGTACGCCAGATCAGACAGTCTGCCACCTGGAATTTAATCGATGCCGCTATCCTCGTAGGAGGATAGGGCTGTTTCCATAATCAAATCTATAACAAAGTGAAATAGAGACGGAGCACCACTTTCTGTAGTGAACTCGGGCGACAAAATGCCGCAAGGTCGGACTCGACTTCGGCCATTATTACGAAGGAGCTTGTAATATTGCAATTTACTTCTCAGGCACCTTTCAGAGAAAGGCGGCGCCAAGGTTCAGAGCGCTCGAGTGAGTCGAAAGCCGCTTCCAACTCGAGAAAAACGGAAATGGTGAGTCAGCGAAAAGGATGTCGATGCTACAGAATTTGGTGGAGAGTAGAGATGCGGTCGATAACCTCGAGCAGTTCTAGAACCAGCCCGGTTCTCACGCGTGACTGTACCTTGACCTGCTGTGATGATTTATGCATCTTTGTGATTCGACTTGTGATGTTCTATATGAACGATATTTGCAAAACGACAACCAGTAATAAGCGTTGGAAAGATGGTTCGCTTCGGTGTTCGGGTGAGGATTGAATTAGGGAATGGGTTAGAGTAGATTTGGCAGCAAAATTGAAGACCAACCTTGTTTTTCTCAAACGGATCGCATAGTAAATCACCAGGTAGATTGAAAACGGATGGCGAGTTGAGACAGCAAAAACTACGAGATACTCGCTTAGCAAGTGATCCGAACGTCTTGTTTCGATAGAGATCGTTTGTTGATTTTATTGCTTTACGCTTTCCTGTTACGAAAATTATAACAGCACGGATGATAAGAACAACCTCGAGAGAGCAGTTAGTCGGGTTAGGGTGAACCAAATGGAACAGCATCATCATCGTACAGCGAAATACAGTGAAGCGAACTTCGCTGAACGCTG